AAAAAAAAAAAAAAAGAATAAACCTCACATTTACTTGTTTCGCTCTAGTATCAAAGAATCTGTTTGCTACTAATAATTTAAATCATTTAATAATAATCTTTTTTTATTAAAAGTAAAGAATCTTATAACTTCAATTCATATGGCATGTAAATGAGATGGATTAAGAAAAAAAATTATTTTTTATTACATAATTTTAAAAAAAAGTTATATAGTTGTAGTTTTCTTAGAAGAGGTTAATGTCATAGAAACACTTGCCCCCCATATCGTAATTCTAATTAGACTTAATAAAAAAAATCAAAAGGAACTGTTTGGTTGTATAGTGCTAGCGACCCTCCTTTGATTTTGAGTTATTTGTTTTTAGATTTATTTGGAAATTAAGAAGTACGTAAGCATTAAAAAAAGGTTTTATATTTTTTATTTGTCTTTGTCTGAAGAGTATATTAATTTAAGGTGAAACACTCTTGAGGTTTACGAAAAATTGTTTAACAACTTCTTTAAAGAAGAAATAATTAATTTCCAATCTTGCTCAAGTCTGAAAAATTTTTTATGCTTGAAGAGGATCAAACTGATAAGGTATATAAAATATATGCTAATTTTCTTGGATTAATGGTGCCATTTAGCTGATAGTAAATTTGTGTGCTCGTGGTTAGCCAACATGTGGCTCATCAGGTTGATGTAACCAAATACTAAAAGAGAAAGCCAAACAGAACAATTTAAAGAGCAACCAAGGGCTCGCTCTCCTTCTTCCCATCGGGATGGGGTACTAGAATATATGCATCGGATAAGATTTTGCCTAGATTGAAGCAAAAATTGGCTTTGATGATGATTTTAAAACATTTCTCTTTTCAAGCATCCCCATCCTACGCACAATCTCCTGTCCCCATCATAACTCTTCAACCAGAGCCTGGCGTTCATGTGATCTTGCACAAACTCTAATTAAAAATCCGACTGAGGCCGGCTTGTGGACCTAAACCTGTGCTCCATTGTACGTTAATGTCTTAGATCTGGTGACCACAAAATGAATATATATAGTTTATAGATTTTTTTTAATTTATACTTTATTAATTAATTATATTTTTTAATAAATTTCTACAGTAAAATATAAAAGTAAATATTATTTTTAATATTGATAAAACATAAATAATTTTAATTGAATAATTCATAAATTTAAAATCAACTTCTATTTTTTTTATAAAATAATTATAAAAAGTGTAACTTATAC